GGGGGGGACTAAAGTACTGTATTCTCGTGCCTCACCTGTTTGCTGAAGGTAGACATGAGGACCGGCACCTCGCCAAGGTAGCGTCTCTTGGACGTGATCTTCATGACCAGCTCGCTGTGACTGAGTTCCTCAAAGACCGTGAAGTAAACCTTGACCCTTGTCTTGCCCTCTGGCAGCTGACACATCAGCCTGGGAGACAACACTTGAAGATGAGGAGATTGAGCACGACTATGCGTCAATCTTACAACTTGAAGAACTGGGTGTCTTCAGGGGAAGTGGCAGAACCAGCATAGTACAGGGGATGGAAAGACGGGCTAGTCACCAAAAGAACACCGGAACAATCAGCAGATGGACTCTGAGGTGGACATAGGAGCGGGGAGCGGAGGTACGTATGGCAATGTCCGGAGTGCTAGGATGTAGTTCCCAGGATCAAGTAATCAACAAGTAATCAACAAGTAATCAACAAGTAATCAACATAGGGAAGACGGAGATACACAGCTTTAACCCCAACACATTTGATGATGCCACATTTATGCTACATTGCTCGATAAGCAAGGGTCGAATTATCAAGTAATTATACTTAATATTCCTATATGGCGCAGAGACCTGGACTTTGACTAGGAAAGAGGAAAACAAAATAAATGTGTTTTTGTTTTAGCTTTAGTAGAGGTTTTACGGTACCTTAACTGCATAAGGTCATATGAGCACCAGGAGATTAGAAGTGAAACAAGAGAGTAACAAACACAAAAAGAAGAAGGGGAAATAAGGACGATAGATGTTTGATAGGAAAGAAGAAGCAAACCACACCAGAGCACCCGCCAGCCACCCACAGACATGTGTTTGAGATGTGGGGCTACCGCGGAACGGCCAAAATAAGTTGGAAAACAAAAAAGGCAAACAAAGAGGTGTATCAGATTCTACACACAAGACAGACCCTGCTGAACAAATAAAATGGAGAAAAATACAATACTGTGGCCTTTTAAAACGTCGCGAGACCTATGTGAAAGAGGTGCTTGAAGGAAAGATGTGGGACAGGAGAGTCAGAGGAAGGCAAAGAATAACATGGATGGACAACATAAGAACATGGACTGGCCTGGATATAGCAGAATGTGCAACGGCAGCTCACGACCGTGAAGGATGGAGGGTCATTACACGTCAACCTCTGAGTCAGAGATGACACCTCCAGGTATCCAGGTATATATACTTAGTGTGGCTAATGTAACCCTCGTTAAATGAAGAGGGAATATGTTGAGTGTGGCATAAACTTCGTCTCGATTCCTCTTGATCGCAGTCGGAGATGAAATAATTTAGCTGCGACAAATACAAATCACATTATACATGTATTGTATGGTCGCTTTTAAGCAAAAGGGGGCTATCCCGAAAAAGCTGGGGGGGGGG